AAGTTTGCTCCTCCAAACTAGCCCTTGATGAGGAACTAAATTATTTAAAAGCAATAGCTATTGACAGGGGCTTTCCACCGAACATTATTAATCAAGCAGTTAAAAAATTCTCATCTCATCACACTAAAAGGCACACTCTTGTTTTAGGAGATTATAAAAATTCTGTTGTCATTCCCTTCTTTCCATCAATTAGCTATAAAGTTGCACATATTTTGCAGAAATTTAACTTTCGGGTTGTTTATTCTCCCATCAATAAAATTCGGACTTCTATACTCAAGGACCCCATTCCGGATATGAATTCCTGGGGTATTTATAGGATTCCTTGCCAGTGTGGTTTAATTTACATTGGCCAAACTAAGAGAGCCTTGAAAATTTCGCGTCAAAGAAACATGAGGCATATGTTAGAAAAAAGGAAACACAGAAGTCTTCTGTTGCTCAACATTGTTGGTCCGAAAAACCACACTTTCAGTTTTTCTGCTGCCAAAATTATTCAAAAAACATCTTCCATTGGAGAACTGGATTTTCTAGAGGCATTTCACATTCATAAAAATCTTTCTGTTCTAGTTAACGATCCTAATTCCAATCCCAAATTTGCCTTCGGCCTTTAAAGAAATTATGTTTTTTTAGTTCTGGTTTCACCAACAGATGGCGCCACTTGCTTATTCTTGTCCAGGCTTTCTTATCTTATCTAATCATTATTTCCTATCTTGTTCATTTGCGGTTTTGCAGCTGAGGATGGTGGTTCGGTAAAACCATCGAAACTAGTCCTGTGAAAATTTTGTAAATATAACGCTGATTTTTGTTGTTTGACTTCTGAATTAGTATTTATTCGGCGTGTTATTGTGTCTTAATTATACAGTTATCTAATTCAAAACAGAGTAATTCTCAACTACAAAACGTATTTCTTTCACAATCGATTCTACTGTTTCTAAAGAAAATCATTTTATGTTGCTGCTTTTTTTTGCAAAATTATTTTGAAGTATTTGCGTTGTCAGTAGATAAAGGTGACTTAAGCCACGTGTGAACTCTTAAGATTCATTGTACAATTCTGTTGCCATGCTGGAAACATCGATTTTTGTAATCTAAAGCCGGAAGTTATTCAAGTTATTTTTCCCATTGTTAGAATATGTTTTACTATTACATCAATAAACTTCATATGAGGTAAGAACTTCTGACTACAGTAAAGCCTTGTGCTGAGTGATCGATAAATCAATGGTGAAGTTTCCTGAACGCTTTAAGAAACATGGACCTTTGTTACGCCTCTCTCATGCAAAAGTTATGAGGTTATATTCTGTGACTTTTCTGAGAATATTTCTCCATAATACGCCACAATTATAATTTATAAACCGAGGTTCTTTGCGTCTGCAGACTAACTGTCATCTGTGAAAGGAATCAATACGTCATTAAAAAGGAAAATAAGTATTTGGCATATTAGAATTCAAATTTAAAACAGCATAAAATTGATAATCCTATACTAGTCAAAATGAAAAGTGCAAAAATACAAAAGTAACACTGGCGGAAAGATGCCCATAACTTCTGAATATATAGGATCATGATTTATAATCTAATTTATTAGAAATCCGTCATCTGCAATGCATGATGCTGTCTGACAGAGCACTAATGTTTACAATGTTGACAAATCAATAAATAGCCAATGCAAAATGTCTGAAAATGTCATTAGGGCTGTTTTGTACAGGCCACTATTGAGCTTGCCTTTGCTTTAGACCAGGAATATCAATGCTGAGGTATTTTCGAGAGTTGTGGATAGTGGATTGATGAACAGCACTGGATTGTTTTCTAAGAGAATTTTGCTTTTCTATTATCTATCTTGAAAGCAACACGTTTAGAAATACGATAGTGAATACCATCCAAGATTTTGATATGTTTAAAGTACTCCCGATTTTGTATACCTTTCAGTACATTAGTATTTTGTTTACAGTTCAATAAATGGTAAGTTATTGATGCTCTTAAGGCCGAGGCATTTGCCTTACCAAAAATACTCCTACCTCTTCAAAAAGATAAACTCAGAGCTCATGTACTATGAAATATTCAAGAATTCTTAAATACTTCGAATGATCTGCTTATTTCCTAATATGCGTGGTCATTAGGATTTTTTCCCATCAATTCTGCTTGAAATATGGTAGTTCTACCAACAGCTCGTCATGTTTCACCAGCTTCTTTCAGAAAAAAATAACAGATCAATCCAGACATATAAAACACCTCAAGTATCACACATGAACAATAATAAATAATAGAAACAGACAAAAAAAATTCTGAAAGGTTTCAGATTTTAAATTACGCCCAAAGGGGCGTTTTTTGAACGTTTTGTGTGTTACCTTTATTTATTAAATATCATGTTCTTTGCACTTAAACCATAAAATTCAGTTCAATAGCAGTGTCGCAAAATAATTCTTAAATGAGCCTATCATTAGAATTTCCGATACACGGTTCTGCGGCGTTGAAAATAAAAAGGTCTTTTTTCCGCGTAGAGTGTTTTCATTGCTTGCTCTTAAATCGTTGAGTTTGTTACTCAAAAATTTGTTAAAGTTATAAAAAATATGAAATCTATAATAAAACATATTCTAAATTTTAAATTTGGTCTTCCACTTGCCCATATTCGTAGGAGGATTACGTCGTTCAAAATTCGATGGCTCTATGTACCGTTGTTTTATCACAATGCGAGATATTATTTTTTATTATTTAATTTCTTCAAATATAATGCGGGACGCTAACATTTGGTGGAAACAGTTTGAAAAGCGAAACGGACATTTATAGTGATTCAACACAAAATCGCAAAAGGAAAACAAAAGTCCTTCGGGGACAAAGTCCCTTTGTACTAAAAAAGAACAAATATTTATAAAGTAAGAATCAGAATAAATGAACATGGGAACAAAAGAAAAAAGTTAAAAATTTAAACAAGAAAAGGAGCATAAGAGATGTAGTCTTTACAAGAAGTTCATGAAAGTTGTGGTATGGTATTCCAGTATAGTTTACTTATCTCACCTTGTTTCTGAGACTCTAATTCTGGACATATAAGAAGAAGCTCTGGATTTATGATGCCCGAATTACAAATTTGACATATACTAGATAGAAAGATGCCAATTTTATTAAGAGGATGTGCCATGCAATCGTGGTCTGTTTGCACTCTGAAGTTTTCCACTGCCTCTCTACGTGGTTTTTGACAATAAGTTTTCCATGTGTCCTGAATGTTAGCCCAGGATTTGCCTGTTGCTTTTGCTGCCTGGTCAGAGTTAAGAATATCCATTAGTTTCTCAAGAAAGGCTTTTTAAGTGACTCTGGATGATGTGGTTTGCTCTCTTATAACTCAAGTGTTCCTCTCTTGGCTGGAGAGTCTGACGTTACATTATCGTCGATACCTACATGTGAAGGGATCCATTGAAAAAAGGTTCTTTTGTTGTGTCTATAAAGAAAGTTCAAGGTTTGTCCTATTTATGAGATAATCTGGGTATCTGTGTCATGATTTATAATTACAACCTGGATGGCTGCTTTAGTATCGACTAGAATAACTGCTTTAGAGAACAATCGATCTCTATCTTCATGTTTTCCAGAGCCAATGAGATTGCAATGATCTCTGCATGAAAATTCAACATGAAGTGTCCCACAGGAGTACATTGAGGAAAAGGTTTACTGTATACACCAGCCCTAGTGTTGTCTTGTATTTCAGAGCCATCAATGTATACTCTAGTCCATTCAGGTTCAGGATGTTGTTCATATAACATATATAATATGTTTGATTTAATATTGCATCAGGAATATTTTTCTTTTCCAAGTCATATATATCTAGCTGGTATTTGATCAAGGGGATTAACCATGAGCTTGTTACAATTGATTGGTTTGTTTTCATCTATTTCTTGTAGTAATTTCTCACAAGCCTCTAGGGCAGGCATTTAGGTCTTCATAGTAATTGGTTTGCATTCGTTCATCCAATGCTCTCTATGCTATGCTTTCATTTTAACGAATGTACCAACTGCTTGCTTCTTGATTTCAAGTAGTGGGTTTAAAGTATAGCTTTGCATAGCTGTAATCCGGGTAGTTTTCACCACTCCTGTCAGTCCACAGCCCATTTCAGCCGAGATATTCGGGAACACTTAAGTGTGACATTTGGCCGATAATTGATCAGGTGTAGTGGTTTTGTTTATTAGCCTGTACGACTGCCGGACTTATTCTCCTTGGCTTTTATTTTTCTGGAGTGACATTTATAAGGTATTTCTCCCACTTCCCTAGCGTGCCTTCGTGGTGTAACCGTAGCACGCTGAGCCGGTAATCCAGAGGTCCGTGGTTCAATTCCCGGCGAAGGCGGTTGCATATTTTTCATCTTTTCTGCTTCTAATTAACCTAACGACTCTACACATTGTACGATTATCCACTGTGTATTTCTAAGTTACAGTTAAAAGTGAAGAATCTTAAGAACTAGTAAGCGAATAATCGCTTGAATTCGTGAGGTAGAAAACAACAAGTGAGAAGGGTGAAATAACCCTTTATTATTCCAACTAAAGTTTAACAGAACTCCGTCTTGGAGATCTACAATAAAGCCGCCACTAAAGCTTTAGCCGCCGAGAGATGCTCGGAATATTTCAAAGCATCATTGAATCTGAGCGGCGCCGATGTCGGACTTGTGTTGTAGATGGTAATTGAAACTTCGAATATATTCTGTGACCTCTCATAATATTGCATTGTTACAATTTGACAAATTAAATAATGTTCTTATGTGTTGTTCTTTCATTTCCCGTGTTTTCTGTACACTTGCACGTGACGATGGCGTTTCCGACGCTGCACTGCTAGCTGGCCCCTATTAGTCTTTCAGCTAACCTACCTTTCCCAGAAGTTTGTACATGCGGTAGCGAATCAAAGATATATTATGTAATGCATAATTTTAATTTTTACTATGCGAAAGGAGAATTAGTATGAATTGCATTGTATAACACATAAATTCAAAGCTAATAAAAATTACAAATGTTATTTTTTTCTATTTTAGAAACAAGAATTGAAAGGAATTTCGAAACTACCAGCCATGAGCTACAATGAAATTTCACAACATCCATGGCTGCAACGTGACCCTCGATGATGGTGGAAGTCGAGCTTCGCGTACCAGCTCATTTTGTGATGGCATCACCTTCAGTCATAAGCCTATAGCAATAAACTCTCGCATCTCCCTTCTTCTGGGTGCTAATGAAGACTGGACAGGAGCCCTTCGTCTCGGCGTTACATCTCAAGATCCAAACGTTTTTGCAAACAAAATGCTACCTCGTTATGCCTGCCCAGACTTGACTTCTAACAATGGCTATTGGGCGAGACCTTTGCCAGAAGTATGGGCTACCCATGGAACCAGGTATTGACTTACTAATGTTATAGTTTTCTAACATTTAGAAGTAGTTGCAAATCTTTCATTTTTTAACATATGCGATGCATAAAAATATGAAGCTGAAGCTGAGGACTTTGGAACAATATTTGGCAATTACCTCCTGCTAGGTAATAACAAAAATATTGCTATTATTCATTAAAACCTATCGAAAATAAAATGCGTTTAATTAACAACCCATTGTAAAATAATCAGTTGTGCTTTGCATACTTAAAGAGATAAACATGTTCAAGAATAAAAACATTATTGTCAATTTATCATCACGTAAATTAAAATTATTAACCGTATAATTCGGCGAGACAAACACTTATCTTGTTATGACTTAATAATCAAGTGAAAGATTAAAATGCATTATCAGCCTGTTAAGCAATTTTATTCTCTTTCTTCGTGCGAAAATATAAAAATTTAATCGGCTTATTAAAATGCGCATCGTGATGGTCAGAAGACTGGTCACAATGCCAGTCCAACCAAGTATGTTTTATATATACTTATAGCCAGTTGTTGACAATGCACTTAGAATGTGTCGCTCATAGTTATAGTGGACAGTGGTTATAACGGTTAGCGACGCTGACTGCCGTAATGAAGGTCCCGGATTCGAATCCTGGAAATGCCATGGATGTTAGTAAATGTTTAAGTTATATGAAGCATGGAGTCACTCTAAATATGCGGCGAGTTGAAAGTCCTCTATAGAGGTTGGTGTAGAGGATGAGGGGATGGGAGATTCTTGGACCCGTTCCCCAGGTGCTCTCCATCAAAATTGGGGGCGGTTGTACCGTCACCTGTATGGTGCTCAAGGGTCTTGCAATAACAGGCTCAATCTTGCAGTCCTTGGCCCGATGAATTTCGTGAGCTTATTCTGATGTTCCTATCAGACAAGTGAGATAAGTCACAACAACAACACTTAGAATGTAGTCCGAAGCCTGCCACTGTCCAAGTGGTTAAGACCGCTGAACGCTAATAGTTTGACTCAATCTTAAAACCGCTGAGAAGAGGCTGGCTTGTGGTTTTTCTCATGAATATGATTGAATGAACTTTAGAAAGTCTTCCACGAATACACTCCTCCCCTTAAGCAGATAGCCCTTATGTTCATTTTGATACCATTTAAATTTCCCAACCCAAGAGGAAGAGGGAAGCTTTTAGGTGCGTACCCTTGAAAAGTTCAAATACTATAACAAAATCAGTGTTGCAAAACTGAATTTCAGCAATATTAGAAACCCTGACTTCAAATATTGATAATCACACTACATAAATGATAGGTATATCTAATTTCAAAAGAAGATTAACGATTATTGCTTAGCTGTCTGAAATATCTTGTTGCCAAGAGTGCATATTTTTTTTTTTATGTATTGATTTCCATGCTATTCAGGTTCATCCATGGTATTCTGTCCTTGTACCTACATAGGCAAATAACTTCAAATCGAAATAACTGCCGAGGTAAAAAAAAAGTTACCTGAAAAGAATGTTAAAATATTAAATGACTGCGGTGTAAAAATACAAAACATCGACTACTCAAATTACGGCAGAATTTAACATATCCTTAAATTAAGTCGTTTGTATAAAAACTGCCTTTTGGAAGTTTCACAGAGTTAATACTCGCCATTAACCTTGCGAAACTACACAGGATAGATATCAAAACCACTGATAAAGAGTAACTTTGTTTTGCACTGGTTTCAGTGGTAGCAGAAACATAAAACTTCGACGGTGCACAATATAAAATGTGTATTCTTCAGCGATTTATTGATCTTCATCCGCTTGGAGAGTTTATGTAGCAAATTTTTTCAGAAGGTCACAATATGAATTATCTTCGGCCTAGATTCAAGCATGGAGATAATTGTTGGCAGATTATTGATGTTCTTCTTTGATCTCCTTCTTTGTTCTGGAATATGTCCCAACTGGTTGACAGTTCTCCTGTTCTCACTTTTACAAAGTATTGCTCTTGGATCAAGAAGATATCTTTTGTAAAAGAAAATTTCTAATTTATAATACGCTGTTTGTGCTTTTTGGAGGTTTATTTGGGTAATTTTTATGCGTTCTTGCTGTTTAGGAAATTTTCATATAATTGATTGGTTTTTGATAGCTTGAGATGCTTCAGAATTATTACACACAGTAGTTATTATGAAGGCGGTGCTTTTCCTAATGTGAAAGGTCTTGGCTGATGAAGCATCTGAAGATTCCAATGAATTCTTTGATAGTATGGGAACTCTCTCATGAGGAACAATTTATTCTGAAAACATTTGTAAAATACTTTCTTTGTGCATTGAAACACCCACCTAATGCAGTTATGGATCCTATTATTGGAACGGAATTTGGGGATTAAGACATCTAGGTTCAGTTCTAGGATAGATGTGATTTCTTTGGTGATGATGTTCCCGGGTTTTGTCTATAATGATCTTCGGGGACCTCAGTGCCGACGTTTGATATCTATATAGCTGATTACTGATTCAGATGCTTGCAATTTAGTTCTTGAAAGCTCGTTAATATCTTCTGTTGACTCACAGGTCACAGTTATTGCTCCTTTTTTTATGGGTGACCTCTTTTGATTTTTGCTGTAATTTTATAAATGCGAATGACCTTTTCCAGATTTTTTGACAGCAGTCTTTCAGGAATTTTCTTTAGGGAAATGAGAAGAACTGGTGCGTCTTTTTTTTTTTTTTTTTTTTCAGAACTTTTGTATCGAAAATCAGGTTTGTTAGTGACATTTGTTATTCTTGTGGCAGCAAATCGCCTCGCTTCTTTTTTTTTTTTGGTGTGCTTCTTCGGAATAATTGGAACGATGGCTTGATGTATTGGGAGGTCTAGCATCTTCTTGTTGTTGGGATGTGGTGCTTCTTGGAATTTCCTGATTGGCAGGGTACTGATGAGAAACTGAGTTCTCTGCGATAAGTGCTGGAGCGCAAGCATTAGTATCGGATATATTACTTCTCTGAGGTTGCCTCTTAGTGCCTCGGGGATGATATAGTGGTTTCATCTTCTGGCGTTAGCTCTGATGTTAGTTAGCCTGATAAATTTTGAGAATAGGTTTTAAATGTCATCTGGTTGAAAGCCTTGAAAGTTCAAAACAGGATCTCCGAAGACAGTAATTTCGTCTTGTATTGAAAAACCCTCATGCGGCTGGACGGAATTATGTTTTACGAGATTAACTTGTAGAGACAGTAGGTTATTTCGAAGCCGGAGAGATGAAAAATGAGCAATGCCTTCACCAGCTCTCGAATACGCGCCGAGCGTGCTGGCCACTACATTACGAGGGCATGCTAAGAAGGTTGGGGAAATACCTTTTAAACTGTTGTATTCGACTTGTAGAGTCATTAGGTTAATTGGAAGCAGAAAAGATGAAAAATATACAACCGCCTTCGCCGGGAATCGAACCACGGATCTCTGGAATACCGGCCCAGCGTGCTACCGTTACACCACGAAGGCACGCTAGGGAAGTGGGAGAAATACCTTATATACTCCTATTTTTAAAGAGCGACTATTGTTTTAGGGAACCTAGTAGCCAAATCCTGGGTGCGGAGAATCATCATCCACAACCCTTTTAGTTCGGGCGCCACTTGTAGAGTCATTAGGATATTTTTTGGAGGCCGGAGAGATGAAAAATTAACAACGCCTTCGCCGGGAATCGAGCCACGAACCTCTGGAATACCGGCCCAGCGTGCTACCGTTACACCACGAAGGCACGCTAGGTAAGTGGAAGAAATACCTATAGACTGGGATAGGTTGTCTTTGGTTATTAACTCCTGATAATTTTTTTGGCATGCTGATGCCATTCTGAAAGTTATGCAGTAGTTGAGGTATCTGAATACTCAGAGCAGTCAGTTGTTGGCAGTGGTACTGGATACTTTATTAAATTAGATTGTGTTGTCTGCTCTCTGTAGCATTTTTTAGGTGGACAGAGTTCTTTGTTTCAGTGACCAGCTTTTGATGCTTTGATTCGCTGTGATTAGTACTGAATGAGCTACACTGCACTTAGTTATTTTTGGTTAAATACTTGCGAATAAGCATTGTGCTTACTGTCTGTTGTAACCTATTTTGATTCACTAAAGGCATTGAGTTGATAATACTGGGGATTTCCGATGGCGTTTGGTTGATGTTAAGCTGTGTTCTTTAGTCAGAATACTGAATTCTACAGTTCAAGAGAATAGCTAGCACATCTGGATAATTATTCGAACAAAAAGGTGAGAATAAACCGTTAAATAGATTACACTTAGGTACAGCAAACATAAAAAAATAATCCATAAGGTTTGCTTTATATATAATAAAAGAAAGAGTCTCTGTGTGTGTGTGTCTTTCATTCGTTATTTGATACCAGCACTTAAATCCGAGGAAGTCTGAGGAAGAATGATAAATGAAGGGGGTCGTCTGGCTTGTAAGGTTGTTTTTTCATCTTGGAGGCTAGCTCGGTAGTGATATTGATTTACAGACGAGGGAGGTTCTGCTTTTATTGTGCTAGAGAGGTGCTGAAAATCGAAGTCCAAAAACAAAGTTAATTATAGAAACAGGTATTAATTGAGATAAGAGACTGGTTCAACTAATTATAAGAAACGTTGATTAATCAAAAAGCTGAAAAACTAATTAGTTTTAAAGAATGATGTTTAGAAAAGGAATTATGGTCTTGCATACATTAACATTTTTTGAAGTCCAGATTTGGCAAATATTTGGAAATTTGATGCTAATTAGATCAAATATAGGGTCGACTATTTAAAAGACTAGCAATTTAATTTAGAATCAAAAGAATAAATTGGATTTAAAGTAAGGCAATTTGGGAAGAAGCTATTTAATTCACATTAATTTTTTTTAAGTTAAAATTTTGTAATTAGTTAAAAAAATGTATCTAATTGGAATAATTAAATAGGCCAAATATTGAAAAGGCTATTAATTAAATTAGAAATCCAATTTTTTTAAGATTTAATGTAAGTTAATTAAGGTTTTGTTTACATTAAAAAATTTTTGAGCCCAAATTGTAATTAATTCAA